AAGTGACTGCATTGGCTGATTCTGCTGATTTAAGAAAAAATTATTTTATAAAATATATTTTATTAATAAAATAAAGAAAAAATTGTATGTAAAAATAGCTAAAATGATCATCTACAGTAACTTCAGCCAATACAGCCAGAAAAGTAACTTCAACCTTACTTTTTCTGCTTATTGTACAATTCAGCGCGCGAAAGCAAATGTTACGTGTTTGGTGAAAAAGTTGGCTGATAAGCCGAAAAACAGTGTTGTCAAACGGCCTCTTAGGCATCATGATTAGGCATGGTCCCATCTCGGGCCGATTCCGATCTCCGACCAGCCGATCCTTGAAAAATATATGAAGGCTCGGATAAAGACCTCTATTTCTGGCTTGTGGTTGGTTTTGGTCCTCAACCAATCTCAGTTCGATCCCGTTTTTTCTATTTTTAACACATTTTAAAACCATCTATTTCCCTCTTCACGATGTTGGAGGTGGGCGTCGAGAAGATGGAGGCAGGAGGCTGGGCGGCAGCAGTGAGCAGACACGAGGATAGCCGCAACGAGCTGGCATGGAGATGGCGACGACGCGAAGGCATGGGGGCGGCGGTGGCGGGTAAGCGCGTAGGCATGGGGACGGCCAATGCGAGTAGACATGGGGACGGCCGATGCAAGTAAACATGGAGACGACAGCGGTACATGCATGGAGACGGTAGCAGCTGCGGGTAGGTGTGCAGGCATGGGAATGGCAGACGAGCAGCCATGGGACAACTGTGGCGAGTAGACATGGAGATGGCGGTAGCGCATAAGAACGGTTACAACGAGGAGGAAGGCGGGTGCCACGACGACGGGGAAATCAAGAGTCTCAAGGCGAACGGCTAGTGGCTAGGGTTTTGAGAAAATGTACGTGATGTTAGGGTTTTATAATAATAATAATCTAATTAAGGGCGTATTAGTAAAAAATATTACTTAGGAAGTTGATGTTTTGATCATATCTAGGGTAATTTTATCATCGATCTAAGTACTAATATTATTTTTCGGGATCTGAATGGGGCTTACACCCCATACTGTAAATTATATCATACAACCGACTGTATCGTATGCACGGTACATCCGAGTTTGTTGTAATATTTTGTTAAGCCGAGGGTGAACAATCAAAACCTGGGCATCGACGGAGGACCAGAGTCCAAGAACTTATAATTTTTTTCATTAGGGATAAATTTGTCATATCAGTACGCTTTTAGTCCTATAAAACATAATGGTCATATTTTTGCAATTCTAACTTATGTTAAGGGACAATAGAATGGGAAATTACAAATATTACTTCCCAACTTGTATTAGACAAAAATATGACTACTATTATTTGTTTGGATGAAATGTAAATATATATTAACACCCAAGAAAAAATGTAACAAATACATGTGTCCCAAATCTAATACCCCCACCCAAAGAGAGTGAAGGAGGAGAAGAGGGTTTTAATATGACCACTATTAAAAAAGATACAAATGTGATCGCTGCTCTTTCGCTTTAATTTTAACGCTAACCTTCCGTTCTCAACTTTATCTCTTCCGCAATCTACCTTGCAAGTTGCAACACTTTCGTCTTCCCATCTTCCACCCAAGATTTCCGCACAGCTCCAGCTCTGAAGACTCCAGATCTTTGATTACAGGTAGTCGCCTCCGATTCCATGTCATTGCATCCAGGTTGTCACCCCCTGCAGTTGCCATCGTTCTTGTACACCGAAGTTCTGATCCCGTCATCGTTGCCATGCCCCTGCTTCTATTTCTTCTCATGCATTTTCGTCGTCGCCATGCCCGTGCTTCTATTTCTTCTCATTTTGTTCGACTTTGGGGGCGTCATTGTCGTCTTTAACACACAGAATTTCAGATTTGGGATGGGACGATCGGAATCTAAATCGGTGGGGCTAGGTTTTGGGCTTTTGGCAGTGTGAAGGGGCTGGGGGGGAAAAGGTTAGGTAGGGGCGGTGGTGGGCGAAGGCATCAAGTGTCGGCGGTGCAGGGGAGTTTGGGGGCTAGGGTTGGGGACTGCCGGTTGGGTTTGGGGGTTGAGGGATGGGGCAGGTCCGATGGTGTGGGACAGGGATGATGGAGGATGGGACATGGCTTGTGGGGTGGCGACGTGGCTAGGCTGATGAGGTGAGGTAGGGCAGATGGGAGCAGGGCAGGGCTGGAGTGATGAGGCCAGGGTTGAGTTGGGGTGATGGGGGGAAGGATGTAGTGATGGTGGCAGGGCGGGGGGACATGGTGTTGCGGGGACAACCACCATTGTGCCGGCCGGCTGTGGTGATGGTCAGTTACTTAACTGGCGGGGCGTTCAGTTTACTAAGGTGGACCACATCGCTAAACGAAAACGACCACAGTGACACGTTTCACGACATCAGTGGCATGGGTGGTGGCCATAATGGTATGGACGGTGGCTATAGTGACACGTATGGTGGCTACAATGACATAGACATTGACTACAGTGACACTGGTGACAATGACAGTGACATTTGGCAGTTACATAAAAAATGGACAGTGACATAAAAATCTAGCGGTGACATAAAATTTGACAATGACATGATGTTTTCCCAATTCTTAGTCATATTTTTGTCCTTTTGCAAAAATGGTCACTTTTTTTGAATTTGACTTTATTTTAGTAATATTCAAGTAAAAAAAATCCCATAAAATGGTCTGCAAACTGTAATGCCGCTTAAAAATGTATAAAATCTGATAACGGTCGAGTGTACTCCATCCTCAGGGCAGCACAACCACAAGGAAGAAGATAAGTCCGAGCGCCGTATAACAGACCTATATATATACCCTATGTTTTGTGGCGAAGGGAGGGCGCCAGCACCGGCTCGCACCCCTGGTTCCGCCATAGACGTACTAGAAGTGAAACCGAAATTGCTTGTTTCCATTTTATGTTAAGCGAAGCCAAAAGGCCAACATCGATGGTTGGAATTTGGATAAAAGTAGACACTCATCAGGGAAATCACACGAGAATTTTACAAAAGACTAAAAATGAAAGTAATATCACGTTTTTCACCTTTTAATGTTTCTTTCAAAAATATACTAGAAAATATTTCTTTTTCAATAATACCAAGTTCACATGTGAAGTAACGGACTGCACGGATTGCACATGACAGATTGAAAATCCATTCATGTACCGATTTTATGCTCTATAGTTACACTTGAAAATTTCATAAACAGACTAAAATAGATCAGACCAGGTCAACAACTTTCAGTTAAAAAAACATCCTTAGTCAATATCAAGAAAGTTCACATCCAATAAATCTTGTTATCTTACCATTTCTTGTTGAAATATGTTCTTCATCCCTCAAAGTGTAACATTTTTAATTACCATTTCCTTTAATTACCTTACATATCAATAAGGTAATTCCAATTTGGCATTTTCACATCATTTAAAACTGCTTAAATAGTGTAATTCCAAGGGGCTAGAAAGACATAATTTGAAATACAATTGAAATTAGAATGATAAGGGTTTTACTTGGCCATAACTCCCTTGTTGAAAACTGAATACCTAACAAAAAGTTTATGTGGAAAGGCAATACATAATTGTCGTCAGGCACAATTTTAGTGGGGGTGATGTGAGGGACGAAATAAAAAATAACATAAATAAATGTGAACAACTTTAAATATTTTTGTCATACAAGGAAGTAAAATTAGATACAACACATTTTGTAGGAATGAAATATATTTCAACTTTTTTCATGGGATTATGAAAAAATATGTAAATCAAGCAAGTATCCTTGAGAAAATATACAAGTCACAAACGATTTCCCAAATTCTATAGTTTGTCGAGAGTTTGTCAATTCACGAAATAAATTTAAAGTGGGGATGCTCAGATGATTGTGAGTTATATAGACCATTCATCAAAATTGTGTTATGGTACTGACACTAAACTTGGAGCTGAGACTATGGTGACTTAAATAATCCACGGAGAACATGACACGAAAAAGTTTCTTATTCATAAACATACTTTAACGTTACCAACCGTTAGACTCATGTTCACTTTTAGCACAAATAGTATTCATTAATGGTTACCTATGCAATGAAACAAGCAATTCCGGTTTCACTTGTAGTAAGTCTGTGGTGAAACCAGGGGTTGCGCCGATGCGGACACCCTCCCTTCCTTATGTTGTGCTGCCTCGAGGATGGATCAAATACTTTTAAAAATCAAACATAAAAAATAACCACTCCCCACACGTACACCTAACCATTCCTTCAAAAACATGTCCTCACCTTTTTAAAGTATATTTTTGCAATTCTACTTCGTAGTGCATAATATGTCCCTGTGTTTGCAGGAAAAGAATCCGGGGTTCCGTGAGAGTGGTGACTCAGATGAGGAAGATGACGATGATAGAGAGCGATACCATTAGATGTCTCTGTAGTTCACTTCAGAAACTTTTGACACCGGAAAAAAGGAATGACAAGAGTCTTTTATTTTCTTTTCAAGTTCACTTTTCAGCAGATTTTATATATTTTTATGAGATAATTTGAATTTGCGGTCTATTTTATTATCCAAATTAAACTTTGCATTCCGTTTTTAAAACATTGTATTTACCTTAACAATTTTGAAATTAGACTTACCCTTCATTAGCAATTTTGTTGGTTTCAACCTATCCTAATTGAGAGTGTGTAATTTGAACAATAAAATATGTTGCAATACTCAAATTACACCTATTTTTAATTTGGGCATAGCTAGGTTGCAACGACACCGTTGTGTCTAGTCAATAATAGGGAAAAACGATGCTGGAGAATCAGCAAATCAGCAAGGTCCAAGTGTCCATTTCCGTCCAGTGGGCAGCTAGGATGTTTTTACTTGGACTGTAATTTGTTCCAGACCAGATCAGACCAGTTCAGACCAGACTAGACCAGACTTGGATAGTTATAAAAATACAAAGAAACCAGACCTTACCAGACCAGACCAGTTCAGACCAGACCAGACCAACAAATCATAGTCCAAGTAAAAACATCCCAAGTCAGCAACTTGTTTTTAAGACAAAAAAAGTAACGGCACCGTTTCGCTGCAGACAGGGTTGCCGAAACCCAGTTGAGCGAGAGCAAGAAACGAGTTAACGAGGCTAATTAAACGAGTCCTGGCGGCCGACGAAGTGGAGAAGAAGGCTATAGCTACAGCGGTCAGCTCTAATCCGAAATCTCAACTCCTTAAGATTAGTTTCACAACTCTCAAGAATCAAGTCATTTGAGGTAATAAAAAAATTGCAATTTCTTTTTGTGAAAGATGACCGCCTACTTTTGTAAATATGGGTCTTTGATTCCGTGATTTGTGACATTTGAATTATAAGAAATTAACAATCAATTTTTGAATTCTGAGTATTGATTTATTGTACTATGGTGTGATATTGATTTTAGAATATTACTCGTATGTGATATATACATGTATGGAGAAGCTTATAATTGTTTGGCATATGGATGTAGTTTGCTTTATGCTTATATAGTTACATGTGTTTCAATGTATTGAATAAGTGGTATATTTAGCAATTGTATAACATAAAATCCATTAGTTTGGTATTTAGGCGTACTTTCCATCATTTGCAATGGAGTCAAAGATTCATTATTTTTTGGCTTGAGAATATGATGGAATAAAGAAAAATGGCTCACTAAACTATCTGCGCTTCTTTGTTAGCTTCTTTGTTATGAAGCAACAGTCAGTCCATGCAATTTTGGATGCGATTTTCACTATGGGTCATCCGGAAACAGTCTCTGTGCTTTAGTACAAGGGTAAGACTGCGTACATCCGACCTCCCCTTACCCTACCGTAGGTGGGAGCCTTTGCGGCTCTGGGGTAAATGAAAATGAAATGAATTTGGTATTTAGGTGTAAATCTGTTTTTAATGCTTTCAATATAGACAATTATATGTATTTAATTTTTGTTACGGTTATTATCAATTATCATTTATCAATTTACAGTCGTTATGTTTAGTCTAGATCCCGACACCCCCTGAAAAAAACTCTGGTTCCGCCACTGGCCTGCCACTCTTCTACTATACATTATACAATAGTTGCTTAGATTAGAAGGTGTGAGATGAATATTTGAGAACTCGTTCGTTAAAGAAATGTGTATCATAACAATGAAGTCAGGGGATCTTTTAAATCCATCACATGCACCAGACCATATGTACATACAAGAGAATTGCTGATTTGGCATGGCTGGGGTTACGTTGTTGGAACCGCGCGAACATAAAACTCAGAACAATTGAGTGGTCATTTTAAGTTTGTTCTGTTTCCACTTTGGTAGCTTATAAAAGGCTTCCTTTGTCATCCCAAATATATCTTTGAACTCTTGCGCACACAAATACGCCTGCAAACATATATGAAATTTATTTCTCAAAGCAATTAAAGCAATACTTTGTATGAGTTTTGAGACCCTAGCTAGCTACTTCATATATGCCAACATACCTCCCTCTTGGTGATGTCAATTTCATCAGTAATAGGATCAGTGGAAGAGGTCTTGAGCCGTTCATAAGGATATTTGGTAATCCCATCTTCATCTTCAACATCACCCTCTTTTACATCTTCTTGGATCGTTTCTGGTTTCGAGTTTTCTTCTTGGCTGCTTGCTGCTCGACCTGCAAGCAAGGAATTAATAATTAACCCGGCCAATCATGCATGCGTTTTTCCACATCTTTTTTGAGAGCAAAGCATATCCTTTGAGACAAAGTAAAGAAAAAGAAAAGGATACAAACCCTTAGCAAGGGATGATGGAATGATGCCATGGCGCGCTGGCTGTGCAGTCTTGTCAAAGGATGCTGTGAGAGCTGCAATGGCTGCAGATCTGGATGGCAGTAGTTTGGCAGCGTCAGGAGTTGCAGATTTTGGAAAGATCTTATTATTCCTCACCATTGGCGGAGGTGTTGAGAGGTTTCTTGAATTAGGGTTCTCAAAATTAGCAGCCAGGGCATTGAAGGCGGGAGACCTGCCCCTAACACGAACTCGGTCAGGGCCGGAAGATGACAAGCTTCGAGATCGTTGAGGTTTTTCACTTGAAACCGACCTTCCACCATAAGATGACGATGACAGCGACGACGTTCGTCTTTTAGGTTTCTAATGAAAACAAACACAAGAGATTAGAAGGATCTTAAACCTACACAAAGTGCATAAACACGATCACCATTACTTTTTAGACTATTTCACTCGATCCTCATTGGGGGGAGGGGGGAGTATTATACTTTTAATAGGATCGTCTAAATCCTGTTTTAGGAATAAAACATACTAGCAAGTATTTCTATTTGTGCTCTTTGTCAGTTTTTAGTCCTATTTGGAGCAATTTTCATCAAAAGTTTAATACCTTCAGCTATCTATATATATGTATGTATATAGCCTCAGGAAAATAGTATTATCTATCTTTTCTCCATCAAAGATAACCTACAACCAGTTCTATGCATGCACGGTAACAAATTAAAGCCAGCGCTCACGCACATCTACCATGGGAGTACCACCATTTTTCACTATCACAAGTTTCCTCTGGAAAGAGTTTCCGTGCATCTGTAGTAAATAGATAAAAGTATGTAATGTTAGAAAATCAGCTTGCACAAAAAGATAGATTAGACCTAATCAGATCACTTACGGCAGCCTTCAAAGAGTCCCACTTGAAAAAGCGGGTAAAGAAGGGTGGTTCACTCCCTTCAAATACTATGTATATTGGTGCTTGCTCAGCCAATTTCTCCAGCAGAAAATCACTTTGGAAGAACTTCTGCTAGAAAAAAAGTCTATCTGAGAATGTATAAAATACAAACTAAGCGCGTGCATGCATGATGTTTGTTCAAGATGGAATTTGGCATTATATTATATGGCATGGGAAGCGAGCTACTAGTTCTAATTAGATAAGGGCAATGATGCATTTTGGTATCTCAACTATTAAATGAATCAAATCAGTATCTTAATTATATTGGAATATTTAAATCCATGGCATTCCACTTGAAATGTGATCTAAATTATTTGGCATAATAGTTTGAGCTTTATTTACTTTCACAAAAAATCATATGACATGAATTAATTAATTAATTCATGTATAATGATTAGCAAATTTAGATTTCTATTAATCTGACCACTTCACCAAAGAAAAAAATGTAGCCATTATAAACATTATATACAAAATATCAGAATCATACTTAACTTAAGATAACTTCATAAATTTGGTAAATAATTAACTGCACATAATTATTTTTTATATTTTCGTGAAATTAAGGTTATTAAGTAAACTATTTTGGAATAAATTTATAATCTACGGCTTCTCTCTAAAAACTTAGCGGCCGTCTCCCCTCTTTGTAGGGGTTGAGATTTTCCGCCACCCCATCAATATGGGGTTGGAGCGGCAGATAACGTTGGGATTGCACCTATGTCGGAGGAGATAACGTTGGTGAATCAACAGATTGCGGATGAGATTTTGTATTGGTGCTGGATCATGAAGTCTTGGTCGGCCGCTCCGACAGTGGCTGAGTTTGTATTCATACATATTGCAAGAGCTCGTCCTCCTCCAAAACCACCTCCATGCCAGGAAGAGTTTTATGGAAATATTTAATTGCAATATTATTTTCTCTTTAGTAGTGCTAGTTTTTGTTTTAGTCAGAGTGGATTTGGTTTTAATGTTTGGATTTTCGGAGTTATTTTGATAGGCAGAGGTTCATATCTGTTCGTTTTAGGCTTAAATTTGCCTGTTTCGGGTTTAGCGAGTCAGGTTGCTTTGTATGAGGTGACTGATTCTATGTCTACTCCTAGGGTTCATGTTTGGATCTGTAAAATCTGTCTAATATTGTCTTGTATGCGTTCTTGATTTTAATATAAAGCCGCTTGTTTTACGATAAAAAAAGTAAACTATTTTGCCCAAACATTTAAATGGTACTGTTATGAAATATTTAAAAGTATTTAAAGTGCCAATTTACTTCCTTCGATAGTTGAGGTACAGAAATGCATCCATACCAATAGTTATGGTACGATTATTTGTACAATTTACCCTACAAGTTCCTTTCTATCTAGAGGTAGCTAGGATGGTACCAAAGATTAAATTTAGTCTAAAACTATAAATCCAAATTGGTTTAACTATACCTCACCAATAGCTAATGCCAACATTTTTTGATTGTTTTCCACCAAGCGCCCAACCCACACAAATATATTCAAATAACAGTCTAGGATAAATATTTCCTCTGTCAAAAGGTCATCCTGGCAAAAATTGAAAATTTCTACAACCTGCATCATATGGCAAAGCACTTATCAAAGTCTCATACATAATTAATATTGAAAGTTTGAAGATGAAAGTATTCCTAATCCATTTAACAAAATTTGAGAGGGTACTATGTGTTGTCGTTGAATATTTACCTGATACTGAATGCATGAAAATGGTAATGTACTGTTTGACACCATAGTAACTTAGTAAGTGGTATTTTTGTCACTTTCTATGAAATCATAGTTGTGCTTTAATTTTGTCGATCACTATGCAGTGATATGCTTTCTATTTTGGTAATAGTATAATAATTTTTTAAAAAGTGAATACAATCTACATGCATGTAAAATTTGAATGGGGAAAAATTGTCCGGAGGAAATACAATAAGAAATTAAGGCACCTTCAAATGTCCTGAAGAGCAGCCGGTACGTACCAATAAGAAAAAAGAGAACAAAACACAGTTAGTATGTGGAGCTATATATATTACATTTACCAAGTAATTCATTAAAAAATTTATATTCATTCGGATCCATAGAAAGGCGACTGAAAGTTTACTTGGTTGTTACTTCACGCCTGTGAAATTATCGATACCTAAAATGGTATGGACACCCGTGTAAAGCAAAATGGTAAAGAGAAGTCCAAATTTGGGAATATTGGCTCCTCGTAATTGAGGTCCATCTCATGTAACATTATTTGGATGTTACATGAATAAACATTATTTGCCTCCTCCTAATTTAGCTTTCTTGGGATATAAACATTAGTTACAAAATATGTTGAAAACTAACTTGTTTTTAGTTAATGTTTGGGCCTAATGAATACTCAGTATGTATTTATGTTATGTTTGGAAAGAGCCCAAGAAGTAGAAAAATGTGGAAGGATTAAATTTTAGAACTTCTCTAGAAGAGTGGAATCTAGAATTCTTATCATTAATTGTATAGGATGCATTATAAGTTGTAGAATAATCTAGATTGTTTTTGTACTAGTATATATATATAGAAATCTTATACAACCACTTTGTATCAAACAAATCAAGTAAAAAAATGAGTAGTTCTAATAAAAGAGTTCTTCCCCTTTATTCATTCATATCTTTCATATTATTCCTAATTTAGCCTCCAAGGGACATACCTCGCGCGTGTAAAGATGAATCAGAATTTAGATATGTATACATTAAGTTTGTAGGTTCACAGTGTAGGCAGGGACGGCCTTACCATTTGAGAATGTGCACGAGAAGAGATGAGGGTCACTTTCATTATTTTTTTCAACCTTCTGGTTAGGGTATTCAGATTTACCCCCCAAAATATCCCAAAATTGTTGAGATTCCGCACCTTCCTTCTGCAGCCTAGACTGGATATCAGGCTGTAAATTAATGGGTACTATATCAGTACTATATTGTGCACACACATATAAAGATAAATAACAATAGGATTAATTTTTCCATTGATAAAGGTAAGTATATCATAAATGCCAAAAATGTTGTCTACATAAGACAAATTGAAGGGGCATACCCCTATCAGCAAGACACCATACAGACACCCACTAACAAAACATCATGAATCACAATGAAGTTTGTCTAAATGAGAGTAGAAGGTGAATCAAGATGACTAGCTAAATGAGAATCACCTAATGCTTAATGGATATATCACAAACTTATGCAAAAACAAAAATAAAGAATATGAATTAATGGCAGCCATATATAAATTAAGGTATAAGTTTACCATGCATGATTTATAATGCCTAGCTAATTAACAAGCTAAGCTAATAAGCATCATGCATCCAGAAAAGCACCTTTATAATATCAAGTTGCCTCTCAGCAAGATCCTGTTCATCGGAGGTTGTAAGATTTCCATACCATGTGAAGACGGTAGAACCACTATGTAGTATGTAACAGTAAGAGGAGTTCAATGAAGATGCCACCTGCGGGTTTATTTATTTGGATAATACTAAAATGTTATGTGAAGTTCTATAACATTTACTAGTGTCACTCTCATGCACATATGTATTTATGTATGTATACATACTGGATCAACTTGGATGGCTTGCATATTGTCTGGCCCAGTACCCTGTATTCGAAACAATGCAACACCATCTTCACTGTATGTATCATCCGAGATTTCTTTTTCAGAAAGAAACTTCTTGTAGCCTTCGCTAAGACCGCCCTGCAGGTGACATGCGCAGACCAAATTACAAGGGATCATCATCCACTTTGTCAATCATTTATTCCTATTTAGAATACAATAACTACATATATATATTAATTAAACAGATCGAGCCCTTCAAACCTTGAAAACAATAAGGGTCTGTAATATAGAAAGGAACTGGATCGGTTCAAAGCCTTCATATATGCGAGCCTGAAAAGTTTCCATATTAGCATGCATGCATGAGGAACTCCATACACGAGGCTCGTGCATATATAAACAACATACATGCAGTAGCATTATATGTATGTATGATGTATATATACTATACTATACCTGAGTCACCAAGAACTTCATGGACTCAACCATTTTGCTTGCATGTGAAGTTGCTGAGATCTGATCTTCCTATATACTCCATACAAACAAAATACAATTCTCAACCACTATCACAACACATTAAAGATTGCCTCCCACGTATTGGTGGGACCAAGCAAGGTAGTTTATAGAGAAAATCCTGGAAATAGGAGTATGTTACTCTCATCCTCAAAATATACTACGTAGTATCATATTTTGATATTATCAAGCCTTGAATATAATATTGGTAGTATACTGTCATAATTGACAGTATTTTTCAAGCATGATATAAATTACTCTTAGGGAATAAAAATATAGTGCTCTTACTTTGGTATTATAAAGCGTTTTTATACTCATATTTAGGGCAATTCTTTCAGTTTATATGATTTGAGGTTATGTGAACCTTTGGAATGTTTGTTTCTATAAGAATATTCCTGTATATTGGAATCACACTATGTAGCTATTGTTTATGGAGAGGAATATTCTCATCCAACCAGACTGACTGGAAAAGCCGTACGGCAGATCCCGTTTAAGGTGTTTCTGGGTGAAATGTTTTGATAAAATTTTGTCAGCATGTTCTTCATGAAGTGTAAATTATATCTACAAAATTTAAGCATAAAATTCAATCAGAAATACAGATAAATAAATTGTTGAAAAACAATGCGTTTTTTTATGCATATTTTTGCGCAGTGTTTTTCAATAATTTATTTAACTCACTTCCCGGTTCAGTTTTAAGCTAAAAATTTGTGGACATAATCTGCACCTCATGAATAATAAGCTTACAAAATTTCATTAAAAAATTTCTTCGGAAGCACCTCATACGGACTTGGCCGTACGACACCTCCAGTCAGTCCGGTTGTATGAGAAGATTACTCTGTTTATGTAATCAGCACAATTAACCCTTCCTCTATGTTACTATTACATGAGTGGTGAAACTACTCTCTTTTGCATATAAATAGTTACTCTTTGCACTAGTCTTGGTTCAATGACAATCACTCTCTCTTTGTCTTTCAATCTTTCCATAGCTTCTAAGAATTAGGGTTGCTTAGCTTCTAGCTAGAGACAAGAGCTAGTATAGAAGGATGAAGAAGGGAAATCGATAAACTCTTAATTATGTTACCTTAACACTTTGCTTCCCAAACCATGTGCCAATAATGCATTCCTCCTTGTCTTCACCAGGATACGAATAATTAAATATGTAAGAGTCCCCACTATAGAACTTTGATTGATCAGATGTTGGAAGAAGAATCTTTTGTTCACCACTTGCACGCCAAACCTGCTCAACATACATAAATAAATATATACCTATACGAGAATTACATCATATAATGAGTAGATTTATGGACACCCATACGATTCCCTTATGGAGTCATATAAGGTATTCTGGTACCATCATCACCACCCATTTTTTAGTGGGGTATTCTACTAAAAAATGGATGGTGCCTCAATACCCCATATGACTCTATAAGGGAGTCATATGGGTCTTTTTAAAATTTTTGTGTCCACTAAGCTCATATATAGAATATCTGGACACAACATTTTCAATAGATAGGTAGATTAAAATATAGAGCATGCACGCACCTGTAAATCCCCTGTGCAATCTATATGTGGTTGAGGTTCGTCTTCTTTTTTTGGAGTATCTTTTACAAGACCATTCACATTAACCCCCTGACGTTTTAGAAGTGCTAGAGAAACATCATGAAAGGATAAGAACAGGCAAAACTATCAAGCTATATGAGTTTCTAAAGGGAAATTTACCTGTGACTAAAAAATTAACATAAAACATTAAAAGATTCTTAATGAATGGCTAGCAAACCTAAACACGAGTCTATATGAGTAATAATATAATTACAATCAAGAGAGAAAAAGTAGGATAAAAATACATACCATACATAATTACATACCATACACACCATTAATTTAGGAATAATAAGTTATCTAATCATATTTTTGGAATCACCACATCTTTTGGTGAACACACACTCACACATGGTCTGGTTCCAATAAAAACAGTCTTAAAATACAAAATGAGAATGTCTCCACTTTTGAGCATATAAGGTGCACTATTGCATTAAGAAATTTTCCGCCATCCACTTTTGGTCCTTCACGGTACACTATTGCACACTGGAAGTCCACTTTTTGCAAAAGTAAATAAATCTGATTTATTTACGAAAATGCCACTGCGTTTTCCATCCACTTTAGTGCATTTTTGACATATTTAGAGGCTTAGAGCCATTAGATCATGAATCCCCGATGCTTTAGATTTATTCCTATTTTTCATGGGAAGGACTATTTGTATTTGATCCTACACACACACATATAGAGAGAAATCTTCAAGTCTAGAATTCCGGACCAGAACCGCCGTCCAGACAACAACGCTTGGGTCACTTCCCGGTGGAATTTTTTGATGAATTTTTTTTGTGCATGTTCTTCATCAATTCTAATTTATCCACAAAATATTTCAGCTAAAAGTTCAATCGGGAAGTAAGTCAAATAATTTTTGAAAGACAACTGCATTTTTATATGTATATTTCGGTGCAGTTATCTCCCAAAAATTATTTGACTGCCTTCCCGATTGAATTTTTAGTTGAATTTTTGTGTGGATAAACTAGACTTGATGAAGAACATGCACAAAAATTTTCATTAAAAAGTTCCACCGGCCTAATGGGAACTGCCGTCAGGCCGAAGCCATTAGGGGCCTTCCTGTTGGATTTTTTTGATCATGTTCTTCATCAAATGTAGATGATATCCACAAAATTTCAGCTTAAAATTCAGATTATTGAAACATACTATGCATTATTTATATACATATAGCGCAGTATGAATATTAAACTAAACTTTTGTAGAGATAATCTACACTTGATGAAGAACATGCTCAAAACATTTCATCAAAAAATTCCGCCGGAAAGGGCCTCAAATGGCCTCGGCCTGATATGAATTATCTAACATACTACGCATATATTGGATCAAATAAAAAAAGGTCTTAACATGTAAAATAAGAATTAACCTCAGACATCCAGAAAGTCAATATGATGTACAATAAACTTTATTTGATGCACTTTTCGAATAAACCTTATCTGATGCACTTTCGCAAAGTGCATCAGATAAGATTTACCCAAAAGTGCATCAGATTTGGGTTATTAGGGTTATTGTGCATCAGATTGATGGTTTGGACGGCTTGGATTAATTCTTATTTTACACGTTAAGATGTCTTCTCATTTGATTCCAATCCTATACACACACGCACACACATATAGGTGAATGCGGTCAAAAGAAAGATATATATATATATATATATATATATATATATATATATATATATATATATATATATAGTCATAATAAAATTTGTGGAATGAAACGTCTAGAGGATATTTTATTTGTTACTCACCAGCAATTTTTCCTTTTCCATCCTCCATTACCGCCACACCATTTGACTGGGGCCAGGTGTCAAACCATTTTCGGAATGTTACTGTCTCAAATCCTTCATTCATGCAAACCACATGACATTTGGTTCTATCAAGACCACGTAACAGTTCCTAGAAGGTGAAAAAACACATGCTTGCAGTTGCACAGTTCAATCATAGACTCGATAAATATAATGTGAACTGAAGTATATATAATAAACTATAAATAAAACATAATTCCTTGGTAATCTTTTATGAAGAGTTGGGGTAGAATGTGTATATATTATTAATCAGTTTATAATTTATACTTGGTGGTATATATATAAAGATAAATTCTACCAACTAATGTACATAAAAATACACATGGAGTCGAGCTATGTGAAACAACTAATATATTCACGTACACAATAGAAATAAATAAATAGAAATAATGACCCCCCATATGAGTAGAAGTTTACGTGTTTCCCAATCTATGAGTTCAATCTTTTTTTTCCCAAAATGATATCTCATGCCTCGATTACCATCCTGTGGCCATTTAATGAAAAAAATCCGTTCCCTTTTTACCCTCCTAAGTAAATCGTGTAAGTAGTAATTGGAATAGACATTTTTCGTTTTTTAGCCACTGAAGAGACCACTCCGGAAGATAAGGTAACCGTTTTCCATGTTTGTTCCCCTCTGCGTAAGGTAATTCTCTGCTACTCCCTCCTTATTCTTTTTCGTTAGTAGATAATGCCATGTATTGCACACACAAAAATTCATATTGCGCAATGTATTGCAAAAAAAACAGTTTTAATCTACAATCATTGCTTTTAAAATTAACTTCAGCGCCGCACTGTTAAAATTCCGGAAATTATTGCGCAATGTATTGCAAAAAAATAGTTTTAATCTACAATCATTGCACAAAAAAAAATTATATTTCGCAATGTATTGCAAAAAAACAGGTTTAATCTACCATTATTGCAGTTAAAAAAATACTTTTAATCTATAATCATTGCAGTTACAATTCCGGAAATTATTGCAATAAAACATAACAAAACTCACCACACTGTTGACTGTAACCTAGTAACCTTCGTTTTTTCGTCTGGCCTTGCCGATTTACGGTCTGTTTGATATACGCTGGTTGGGGAAAATTAGTGTAGGTTTAGGAATCCTTCCTTAATTGAATTAGTTACCATAACTGACGGGCCGAATTTTTAGTTCTAATCGTCATAATGAGGATTTTGAAAATTGAGAGAATCCTATTCTTTTGCTTCCCCCTTTGCCCGTAACTCCGTAAGTAGAGGTTAAATTGGTCTTTCAATGCAATCATGTAGCCCATGTATCGTTTTAATTAATACATGGTTACTTATATATTGAGAAAAAAACTGCATGAGTCATAGTTTGGGAAATGGGTTAAGTTATGGTCATATACCCGTATTTTTTCCAAATAAATATAAATAGAAGTCTGGACTGTTCTGGTATCTGGACTGAATAATCTTGACTCGGTATTTTAATGAATATCCGAGCAACAAGTTGTGATTTAAACTGAGCCACACTTCCATCAGCATGACATTTAATACAGAAGAACCATTTGCCTGTGATGGGCTTATGAATAGCACGAGGTACAAGAGCCCACATGTTGTTGCGGTGAAGAGCATCCATCTCTGATTCTCTTCATCCATAGCAGTCTTTCATCTTGGATCAGCTAAGGTTTGTTGTACACTTGTGGGTTTAGGTATAGATGGTACTAGATGACGGGCGGTAGAGTTACCAAAGGCTACAAAAATATTTTGGGTAGGGGATCCGTTTTCGAATGGGACTAGTAGAAGAGGGTAAAGTTATGGTCGGTATACTGAAAGACATGTCGGGTACAGGCGCAGAATGAGAAGGTTGGGGTTGTTGAGGTAGTGACATGATAGTAAGAGATTGGTGGGAGTATTTGAAGGAGACAACATGAGATGAGGTTGGAGCAGATATAATTTGGTGAGAGGCGGATGGAATTAAATTGTTTGTGGCAGAACAGGAGAAGACTTTGGGTCGATCAAATTGTTATTTGTGGGGAGTTAACCATAGAATTAGGATGGGACATTGGAAGTGGTGTGTGAGGCTTGACTAGTTGAGTATAAGAAAAACGGGAGAGAGAGTAGACTTGGAACCCAGCTGAGGCGGCATAGGATTATCATGATTACGTGAGGATGACGGAGCGTGGGCTGCATGCAACAACATATACATGCATGCAGATTGTGTGCGAAATGGATAACTTTCTAGAATGAACCGTACATATCTACTTGTGTGATCTGACTGAGAACCGTAGTTGGTAATCGATTTATTAGTCCACTGCTATTTGGAACGCATAAGGCCAGTGAGTGGTAAACCCGAATAATGAAGTAGCACAAGACCGGTATCTACAATGCCGGTGCTCTGAAAGTTTATTTTGTTCAGGAGTGTGAGGTGGGATAGTGAAGTGGAAATACCATGTGTATTAAGGTAGGAACCTGAGTTGATATATTCACTGTCACTGTTAGAGAAAACAATTTTGATTTTATGATTAAAAAATTCTCAATAAGCGATGGAATTGAGTAAAAATGTGACTAACTTTATACACAATTTAGAGTGAGTATAACCGGATATAACGAGTAATAATTTCACTGACCATCAGTGACAACCAGTGAGTGGTACTCCAAACACTGTCAAACTCCATCAATTCAAGTGGTAGTTTTGTACTGTTATTAACTTCACTGGACATACAATGGGAATCAACGAAAGTATGAAATTGAAAATATGACTAGACGGATAACCAAGTGTATGATGCCCCTTTGACTGAACTGACCTTTGCCTGAGATTGAATTGAGGAAATACTCTAGAGGGAGCTAGATATCATTATGGTTCTCCCCAGGCATGAGTGACGCTCTCATGACCCGACCCTTGACAACAAAATAAGAAATGAAGAATTCAACAAACACATTCTTAGATTGGAGTAGTTTAGAAACAAACACCATATTTTAGAAAGGGTTAGAGGGCGAGAATTGACAGGTAGTGTAGTGGAACCTGCGTGTGATTTGATCAAAATGGAGAGGAAACTCTCTGATTTCTTGTGGGATAAAATTCCTGATCACAACGGGCGTATCTGGAGTCTGGAGAAGCTGGAATAATATCTGCTTCCCCACAGATGAGAATGGGCTGGGCTTTAGAAGCCTTCGCCAAATTCAGAAAACTTTTTTTCTGAAACTTAAGTGGAAGCTTAGGAATGAGGCTGGGCTGGGGCTTTTGGGGTTAATTCCTTAAGGGATGAGTCCTTATCTATCATGAGCAAGTACCTAAATTCTGTTAACAACCTTTTTGAAGAAAACTGCTTCACTCAGATTAACAAAGGGGGGCAGTCCCTTCTGGTACACCAACTGGTGTGACCTCGGTCCGATATACCACTTTCAGGATGAGACCCCCCTGAATCTCAATAATTTAACCATTCGTGAAGCCATGGCCGAAAACAACTTGACCCAGTCGGTTATTGACAACCTTCCCCGTTTTGTAGTTGACAAAATTCAGGGGATGAACATTCATTTCTGTGATGATATGGACCAGATCATTTGGAAACCAAATCCTAACGGCAAGTTCACTTTTAATAGCGCCTATGATGTGATTAGACTGAAAATGAATACTAACCAGTCTGCTGAGTATGTTTGGAATAATCTTACGCCTAAGAAAATCTCTTTCTTTTTGTGGAGACTCCAAAACAATATCCTTCCTTTTGAAGATAACCTCTGAAACATGGGTATAAATGGCCCTTTTAAATGCCCGTTTTGTAGCAATCAGAACACAATAAATCATTTTTTTCCGAACTGCTGTTTTAGCATTGGTGTTTGGAGTTTCTTTGAAAATCATTTTAATTTTCGTCTGCCTCATCATGGGAGTTTCAAATCTACATTGACCGTTGGTAATTGGTATAAAGATTTTCAAGGTCCTATCAATCATTTTAACCATGTTATCCCAAAACAAAAATACCGACTACCACCTACTGGACTAAGCCCCCTCCAAATTACAATAAAATTAATTTCCCCTACTGAAATATCACACCCACAACGGGGCGCACGGTTGCTATCATTCGTGATGACAAGGGCAATTACATTGCCCATGACACCCACATTGATAAGTCTAACAACCGCACTTCAGCCTGTTTTGATGCTATTATTAATATCATTCCTCATTTGCAGAGCCTTAACCTTTCCAATCTGGTCTTTGAGGTAGAAAATCAAGAAGTTTATGAAGGGATTGCTGGGGAAAAACTGCAGCATTGGGAACATTGGTCTATCCGCACCATCAAAGACAAATTGAAAAATCTCAACTCGGCAGTTACCATTGCCAATCCTCGGATCAATAAAGCAGCGGAGTATTTGGCCTATCACAGCACCTCAATTGAAACCGGGACTCTTCACTCTTCACTCTAATAAATCGGTGAGGTGTTCCCTGGTTCTCACCCCAAGACCTTTCGGGTTTTGGTTTACAACCGGGTTAAAAAAAACCTGCGCGTGATTTGAAAGCACTTATAATCATCAAGATGGACTTTATCTAAACCACCACTTTCACTATAGGATGGTTGCTGGTCATCTCAGATGTGACAATAAGTGACATGATGCAACTCCCCACTCTCAAACAGCTAGGGATGGCCCGGTTCCGGTCTGAAAGGCCCGGGAATCGGCCTGGCCCGCCACTGTGAGGAACCGGACCGGCCCGGTGCACTGGGACTGGTTCCGGGCCTAGGACCGGACCGAGGTGTTAGGGCGGTGCGGTTCCGGGCTGAACTCCCTTTGGAACCAGCCCGGTCCGGGCCTTTTTTTTTCATTTTTTTTGTTGTAGTCGGGTTGGGCTGGGTGTTTTGGGTGGGTTTGGGGGGTGGGGGGGGGGGTGAGGGGGTTGGGGGTTAATTAGAAAAGCAAAAAAAAAAATATGAACCGGCCCGAGACCGGCCCGGCCCGGCCCCGTTGGATACCCGGGCCGATTCCGGGCCTGTTGCTACACAGAAAAAGCCCGGTTAGGACCGGCCCGGTGCCCAGCCCGGCCCGGGACCGGTCCATGCCTACAAACAGCCAAGGCTGCCCACCACGAGATTAGTCAGTAGACATGGTATTAACCATCGGATGTTGCGTTGTTGCTGGATGTGGGATTTTATTATCTCGTAGAAACCTCTACAACTTGCGACACTGTTTCACATCATGACCCAGAATGTCATATTAACGACATATGATTGTAGATGTGGAGGAACAAGAAAGTGTTCCATAATGACCCCCACAGGCCACAACCATGAGGTCCATGACAAGCACGGGGTCCAAGCTGATTGGCGTGATGAGATAACGGACGAGCACTCATTTGTGGAGTAATGTGCGTGATATTTGCCATGAAACAAGAGAGTGATTGGCCGTGGAAGCTTCATAGAGACGTCGCTCATGTTCAAGTAATAAGATGTCCTGAAGTTCAGTCAATAGTAATGTTGAGGAGTGAACATGAATGGAAGAGGTGAGTTCACTCATTCACTGTAATCATATGTGAGGCCATTTAGGATATTAATAATGAGATCTTCTTCCGGGATGCGATTTTTATCAAGGGCTAGAGCCTCAATGAGAGAGCAAACATCTCAGCATTATGGTCAGTGATGGAATGACCACCGTTTGTAGTCCAGGCAAGAGACGTTTTGAGGGAGATGATTCGTCTGAGAAGTAGTAGTGTAGCTGATCGAGATCCAGCTTCTCCCAGGCATGACAAGCAATGACCACTCTTGAGATAAGTGGTTGGATTGTATTGGAGAAACTACCTATCAAAGCATTGATGATAGTACTATTCTACCGATACCAAATTACACAGCAAGGGTTGAGTTGATATTTTCCATCATTGAGATGCTAATTACGAGCAAGATCGGTTCCATCAACATAAACCTTGAGGTGAAGACCAACAAGGGCAGAGTGGGCTTTCACAGGGAAGTTTGAGGTTGTACTTTTGATTGGAAATTTGGCGGTGGCTATGAGAGAGATGTGGTAGAAGGGTGTATATATTAATGATCAGTTTATATTATACACTTGTTGATATATATAGACTAATATAATACAAGAAAGTAAAGATAAGTTCTACAAACTAGCATATAAGAACATGGAATCAAACTAAACTAAACTAGCATATACTAACATACATTTGAACCATATAAATAATAAAGAAAGATAACTACGTTCCTATATTGTATAAGATATACTTTGTGTTTTTTTCATTATTCAAAATTATGAATATTAACTAACTTTTTTACTTTTTTACTTACTGTTTGGTGGTTAAAGTGCTAAAAGAACAACCATATTCATTATTTTTTTAAATTCGTGTCAAATCCAAATGTGTCTTGCAGCACGGGACAAGGGATTATAATAAAGCAGTACGTACATGTGTTGCAACACATGCAGATTTCCTTTCATCAAGAGACATATTCCTTCCCATCCACACAAAAACCTCATCTCCACAATCAAGGATGTATGTTCCATTGGTATCTAGCATGTCCCTCGTTAAAGCATCTCCATCAACAGGTTTGGCCTTTCTTGCCTCAACTCTGAAATGGTAAATTTAATATATTGAAAGGCAATGAAAGCTATCTTCACCCGCTTGAAAACAAGGTCAACTAGAACCACTTTGTAAGAGTTTACTACATAGAGTAGGCAATGCTGGTCCCTATGTTTTCACGGCCTATAAGCAAAAGCCTATTGTAGATTTCTGTCTCTCGAATGTTTAAAACTTTACATAAATCATACTTCATAAAAAATAGTGAATATGATAAAATTATGTAAAAAATGCATAATAACGACAAGAATTATCATCAGATAAATTGCATATTGGAACAAAAGTTGCACCATAAGTAACTATTTAAGCAATTGTGTAACATTTTGAAACAAAATTGTCATTGATAAATTTAAGAGTGATCATTTCTTGCATCTCATACCCAATGCTTAATAATGCTAAAGTATTGGACCCCCTAGTGAGGCTAAGACTACATAGAGGGAGGATGGGCAATACACATCTATATTGAGCCAAACCCACTACATCAAAGGAAGAGATTTATGTGTGGAAATGACATTTTGATTGATATGAGTGAAAATGATAAGAAAAACATACTTCTTTTTAGAAAGGAAACATGAGTTTTTTAAGATGGAAATCACGAAGACATTTTGAAGTTGGACGGGTCGAGGATTGAAGGCTATCTTCTCCCCCTGTTATATGATTAATGTTTTTTTCCTTTTCTTTTTATTCAGCTGACAATTAGGCAGGGAAATTGTTTTAAGGTAGATTCTACGGTACCCATAAGGTACCGTACCTTTGTCCACATGGACCAATCAGAATCATGCAGTTGAATTATTTAAATCTAAATTCAAAAGGATTTAATGATTTGGACCAATCAAATGCATGGTAGGTACGGTACCCCATTTTTTAAATGGGTACCGGAGTTGTGGTAGAAAATGATAAGAGGTTTCTGTGGTGGTCAAAGACTAAAGTGAGAAGAATCAAATATTCTAAGTTCTTAATCAAAACCTTGTAAGTTTCAAAAAATAGAAAAATATTAAAGCAAAAAGATACCGATACAGTCTTCTTATAAGCGAAGTAGCATGTGTAGAGTAGTCATCCTTAATCGTTTTCCTTGGAAGTGGTGCAAAGCCACCAAACAGGGCCCAAAACTCCCCCGTATCAGAATCAGACATTAGTTTGCCATCATCTACATCATCATGCATAGAAGCATTTATTTAATTCATCAAAAAGTTACTAATGCATGTACATATGGTCAAGAGCATGCAGTACGTTTTGCTCAATTACCAATCACAGCCACCTCACACTTTCCGTTGTGATAAGTGTCCTTTATGTATTGAACAACTTCAAGTGCATAGGCCCTCTCTTGAATACATGAATTTGCACCATTGAATTGGAAAACTTTAGACTTTGTATCAAGGATGAAGATGTCATCATGATTTAGTGAGGACCGAGCGAAAAGAACCTGTCAAATTAAATCACTTAGAAACAAAATTTTATTTAACTAAAAATTAAGAACAAATCAAGTTAGGAATGCTATTCCTCCGTCCCATTTTATATATGATTCCCAATTGGGTTCATTACCATAGTGGAGTATTAATTAATGGACGATATAATATACAAGTAATATAATAATTATATTATATATAATTATTATTATAATTATTATTAGTATTACTACTACTACCACTGCTATAACAACAAGCGAGAGGAGCTGGCCGAGCTTGCCTCTTTGACGTGGACAACATGTTTTCCTCTGCATACATACAAACGGGTCGTATAATCTGATTTCACGACGTGAGGTGGGGCGGGTCCACCTTCTTGTGGGATGATGCATGGCTTGAAATAGGAAAGGAACTTCTTCGTTTCATGGTTTTGCATTTCACGATATTGAATAACATGTCTTCCAATAGCTGCATCCAGCTCAATACACTTATTAGCTGCTATCTCAGCTTCATCATATATATATTAAACATTATTCCATCAGTGCGACTATGCGATCACTTCATCGTAAGAAAGTTGGAAATTTGTATAATTAAATGACTCAATCTAGCTAGCTAGCTCATGCATGGAATAAGAAAACATACTGTTAAGACTCGGGGTTCCATCCTAAAAGGTTAACCTAATAGGAGGAGTAGTCCAAAGTCATATGTGCTAAACAAGCCGTCAAAACACAACCAGGTTTGACTCTGATACCATGTTAAGGCTCGGGGTTCCATCCTAAAAGGTAAACCTTGATAGGAGTAGCCGGAAGTCTTATATAGTGTATTATTGTTTTATAGCTTTCCGGTGTGGGACAAATATTTCTAACACATACATATATACAACATACCCCACTAGAATCCTTGCCAAGCCAATAGTGAATATCATGTCGTAAGGAACCACTTTTCAAGATGGAGGTCTGCATGCATGCATCAAAGGAAAATAAATTAGGATCTTATTGACCGAACTGATCAATTGGCCTATTAGTCTATCCACAGTGAACAAAACATAACAAATACTTAGAAGCTCCACTTAATCACGTGATATTTATAACCAAGTTCAAGAGAATTGTGAAAATTTTATTAAGTAACTAGCCCAAGTATATAGTAACACTATTAGTCTCTCAAGGTGCTTACATGCATGCACTAGGCACAATGAAATAAAATGGTTATTTCCATATTGCTTTGATGCTTTCATGTTATATTAGAATCAATAAGTGTTTTTCTAATGGTTTTTAAGAATTAAAACCTTAGACATTTGCATCGTTTTGCTAGAAAGTGTTTTTTTTATTAGAGATTGGACCAAATACAAATATGAATAGAACACACATGAAGAGTCCCGACAAGAAAACGTCAACCAAACGCATCCCAAAGAACAGCCAAAGCCAACAACACTACATAAATGACGTGCAAGCTGCCCAGACTCCACAAAAGCCGTCCAATTTTTACCTGCCAAGCCACCCCAGGAGCCATGCAAGATAGAAGAAAGGAGCTCGACATAAATGTGAAAGCCTTATCGGAAACCTTAGGTTGTAGTTTATTGGATGATGTAATTCCAAACGCTGCCCGGTTGTTGACCCCTATGATGAAGACAAATGATTTTTTAAGTGAAAGCTGTCTGACTTTGTCCAGATTTATGATTAAAATAGAGAATGGTCTTCACAACCATTCAGGAGAAAACACCAAAATCTATAAGAATCTTGCTTTCATGTCCAAAGATTGCTGTTGAAGACTCTATATAAGAGTTTTGAAACCTCTTGAGGGATTATCACATTTTCTGCACTCTACTCCTACATATTCATCTCAAAAGCACCTCTTTGGTCTTGAGAGAAGTCCTTCCTTTGGGAAACGATTGTCCACCATAGCTTTGGAGATTTGGTACTATTTTTCTTTTGTATTTCATATTTCAATACTTTCCATCATTTGCAATGGAGCCAAAAATTCATTATTTTTTGGCTTGAGAATATGATGGAATAAAGCAAAATGGCTCACCAAACTGTCTGATCTTCTTTGTTATGAAGCAGCAGTCAGTCCATGCAATTTTGGACGCAGTTTTCATTATGAGTCATCCGGAAACAGTCTCTCTGTGCTTTAGTACAGGGCCACAGGGGTAAGACTGCGTACATCCGACCCCCCTTACCCCACCGTAGATGGGAGCCTTTGCGGCACTAGGGTAAATGATGATTGATTGATTTTGATTTACTGTTTCAATACTTGTAATTTCATTATGAATTGTTGTAGCTAATTTTTCTTGAGCTGGGTTAGGCATGAAACTTTACACACTCTTAGTGCTTGATGTATGTTTTGACCCAATTTGTTATGATCTTTCCTTTATAATTTTAATGTGTGTGAATACAGTGTACAACGTATGATTATATCGTTGGATTTATTTGGGCAATTAACGTTTGATTATAAACTGCGCAATGTTCTAATCTTTAATGGGGTTATTTTTAATGAAGAGGATTGCGAAGCTATCTCGGGGATACCATTAAAAGGACTTCACGGGAAGGACGAATTGATTTGGGCGGCTAACAAGAATGGGAAATACTCAGTTCGTAGTTGCTACCAGATGCTTTCACCGCATGTCGAAAATAGGCAGGCATGGACCCGAGTATGGAAGCTGAATCTACCACCTAAAATGAAAACTTTTTTCTGGCAGGTGTGTACGGACTGTTTACCGTCTAAGGAGCGGTTGCTTCAGAGACGAGTATCGGTATGGCCGGTTTGTAGCACGTGTGGTGTAGACAGGGAGAGTACGCTGCATGTTTTTCAGGATTGTGTGCTAGCAAAAGAGGTGTGGTGGAGCCAAAATAAATCTTTTTTGCAGGTTGGGGCTACGACTTTTGCAGCATGGGCTGATGCAGTCAAAGGCAGGTGTTCCAAGGAAGAGCTAGAACAATTTGTGTTGATTTGTTGGAGTTTATGGAAGTCTAGAAATGATAAATTATGGAAGAATATTAGCACTTTTTGGAGGGGTGTAGTAGCCAGGGGAGAAACGATGCTGGCTGGGTGGAAGGAAGCCCGAGTTCAGCAGAGTGACTGGAAAGCTAGCTCCGGGGGGGAGCGCGGGGGAGGTGATGGCACACAAGGCAAATGGCAGCCTCCGGGAGCGGGCGTTGTAAAGATAAATGTCGACGCGGCGGTTCATTCCCATGGGGATTGGCGGGGACTTGGATTAGTAGCAAGGAATGATAAAGGCTCGTTCATAGCAGGTAGAAGTGTCCGAGAACGGGGACGTTTCTCGGTCAGCACAACGGAGGCCTTAGCGATTCGTGAGGCAGTTTTATGGGCGGCACAAGCTGGGTGGGCTGAAGTGATTATTGAGTCGGATGCACTCTCGGTTGTGCAAAGGATCGCAGATTCGGATGGCATCTCTTATGAAGATAATATTTTTGCTGAAATTAGACATATGATAGCTAGGTTTGCTAATTTAAATGTCCACTATGTGCAGTGATCAGCAAATCGGGTTGCCCATGCTTTAGCACGGCAGACCGTTTTGGAGTCTGATTGCTTATGGGTTGGAACCCCACCGGATTGTATTGTCAACTTGTTGCGATTTGATTATTAATGATATGTTATTTGGTTTTCAAAAAAAAATCTCTAATGGGATGTAAACCATAATGGGATTTGCACGTAGGGGTATTCACAATCCCACTACCATAACACGAGTTTAGGATATTTTAGAGACATTTCGCTCATAAGAATTGGTGAAAGAACATATCGTCATCACTTAGTGTTGTTTAGAAGTAATCCCCATACTCTTGGTTGTTTGTATTATAGTTTGAAATCAAATCCGTGTTTTTTATTTTATTTTAAATCCTTTATAAAAAATGTTTCCGACTTTGAATTATATAAACAATGTTTCCTTGTGTTCGGTCCGGTATTTTTATTGGTTTTTATTACTACTTTGGTATTTGTACACTTGTAAGTTTAAGCAGATCAATAATAATACCTTAGCTTGAGTGATTTTCGGAGTCAATGCTAGGTATCGTTTGTAGCAGTTGTTGCTGAATGGTTAACATGGATATGAATATATAAATTATAACAATATGCATTAAGGGTGCTCATTTTTTCAAGCATAGGGGAAACCACCTATCAATGGGGTAAGCGACGGGGAACCCTTACACTATTTATTAATGTAGCAAGTGTGAGTACAAAGAAAAAGAGGGGATATAAACCTTACCCATAAAAGTTAATGAAAATGTGAAGAGGTACAAGTAATGAAGGAAGACACATTAAAGATTTAATACTACCTCCGTCCCACTAACATTGGGACATGAGGAGGTAGGGTTGTATACGAACCGAATCGAGTCGAATAGTTGGATTTTGTATTTGTATTTGTTTAATTTTTTCGAATACGAATTTGAATTCAAATATGAAACGAATATTAATTCCGATTTGTATTTGTATTTGTTTAATAATACGAATAGTTAACGAATCTAATACGAATATCGAATATATTTGAGCATAGGTTAAATATTAGTCAAATATCACTTTAAAATAAATTTTATTATATTTTTTTTATGTTGTAAATGTACGCTATGACTTAATATGTGTTTTTAGAATTTAAATTCAATGGATCAATGTAGTTTTAGATTGTGCACGATATACTTAAGTGAATCAATTTTATGATTAACAAATATAAATCTATTTCAAACTTTTTGAAATAAACACTAACACACACATGTTAGAAATTATACTTATAATGTGTGAAATAAGTTGATAATTGTATATATCAAAGTCAAACGACTCTAATTTTATTCTGCAAATCAAATACATAATTATTTGTATTGTATTTGAAAGACATTTGAACCAAAAAACCAATTTGTATTTGTATTTATACTCTGACTTGTTACCAATGGACTTAGAATCTGTATGCATAAATGTATATATGAACTACACTTTAGGGTATTGCTATCTTTTAAAAGTTATTATAGAGTTATTACTATTATTATTATTCTTATTAATATTATCACTATCATTAATCGAATATATATGATTAATATTCGAATCGAATACATTGATATTCTTATTTGTATTTGATAACAACTCGAATCAAATTTAATATTCATATTTGTATTTGTATTTGAATTTTTCGAATTCGAATCGTCTTATACGAATTCGAATCGCGAATCGAGCAAAAATTATTTGATTCATTTACAACCCTATGAGGAGGTGACACAATTATTAACAAAAGTAGATTTATGTGGTTGATATTAAATTAATATAGTAAGAATAAAGTAAAATGATTTAGAATCATTCAAATTTTACCAAATTTGGTATGAGACTATCTTAGTGAGACAGATCAAAAAGAAAAAAATGAGACAATTGTAGCGAGACGAAGGAAGTATTAAAGGTCGTGGGAACTCCTACTTGAGTGGATAGCTCTTTTTTGAATCTGAGGTGGAACTTTATGACCCGTTGAATGTACAGTGGGTATATCGATGCTTCCGGATGTGAAGAATTTTACCTCCGGAGTCCTTTGACAAGCTTATGTGGTGATTGGAATTTTAATTCTTCTTGGGAAATTATGAAATCATCATCAACTTGCCTTGACTTTGCTCGATTTCCGGTGATCATTGGTTGGTGGATTTGATTCTGATCATTGTAATTCTCATGTTCCATGTGAGAAACTTGGATTTGTTGTTTCTTCTTGTTCTTTTTAAAACAACTATAGTGAAGCCTCTGGTTCATCCTCAATTTGAGTTTGTTTTTCGAAAAAATAAGAAAATAAAATAGGTCGTACGAACATAATATAGAACGAACGAAGGCACAAAAGTTTTTGCGACTCACAATGTCCTTAAAACCAATTTGCTGCCTCCCACGATGCTAGGAGCGTTGCAACGTTAGTTTCTCAGGATACGATGACTTACAAACACCCCTATTAATCACTCAACAGGTTGCTTCGACAAACAGAACAAAGGGTAGAACATGAGAAGTTTTTCGGAAGCTGGTAGAGTTTGTTTTGGGACAGTTCAGTGTATAGGTCGTTGTGGTCATTTCAATGTATTATTGTATATTAGTTTGTGCAGTTCCCAAAAATCTATTAGGCATATATAGGAGAGGAGGAGCTATTAAACACGCATTAAAACCACACTTATTGTGGTAATTGACCATTAATCGACCATTGTTTAAGATAGATTTTCAAATGACATTGGAGTCTGCAGGACGCCCATGCACACAATTTTCAAATTACTGTTTCAGGATTTGATTTGCACCCCCGTGCGCGGAGAGATCCTTTCCGCTATACAATCTTAACACCTTCAAACAAGATCTCATATATAAGGTGGGGCAAATCTTTTGGGTTTTCCGGTGTGGGACAATTCCCAGTTGAAACCCATCCCTTTTTCCAATTTCTACATTTCAACGAGTGAAATCCGAGAATCAATTTCTCATTCACCCGTTATCTATTTTGAGTGTACCATATATCGAATCGAACCCCTTACCAAGGCAACCCAAATCCACTTTGACCCGACCCAAATTGGAAGTAGACCTCACTCCAAATTCTGCACAAAAATAGCCATTTAATACCAATTTTTTCAACACAAGCATCCTTCGCCGTAGCAGCTCTCTGCACTGTCTTAACTTTTTGGATGAAAGTGTTAAGGATTTTCGTCCATTATTAAGTTCGTTGATATTTCCATCATTTGTAATGGAGCCAAATACTCACTATTTTTTTGGCTTGAGAATATGATGGAATAAAGTAAAACGACTTACTAAAGTGGTTGCGTTTCTTTGTTATGAAGGAGCTGCCAGTTCATGCAACTTTCAACGTAATTTTCACTATGGGTCATCCAGAAACAGTCTGTGTGTGCTTTAGTACAGGGGTAAGACTGCGTAAATCCGACCCCCTTACCCCACCGAAGGTGTGGGAGCCTTTGTGGCACTGGGGTAATGATGATGATGATTAAGTTCGTTGATAGGTCTTAGTTGTCATCAGGCTTTCCGCGACCATAATTGTTTTGGTTTTACTAATCTTCTTTATCAATTCGTCTATGTGTTTGTCAGAAGATTGTGAAATACTAGATGCAAGGGGATTGAGGTACTTCCTTTTGTGTTTATGAAATTCTGATAAATGTTCCCCGACATTTATCCCACCGATTTTGGTGGTTTATCCACCGGGTTAAAATAGAAAAACTAGATGGAAGGGGAGCCTGTTGTTGAGCTTGAAAGTCTTCCGGAGTGTTTTCTTCTTGTATAGGTACATTCGTACCTTGCAAGGTTGCTAGAAGGTCTGTACTGGTTTTGATAGTGGTAGTTGGCTCAGTCTCAGTGAAGAGATCAACTATAGCCGTTGTTGACTGGAATGTTGTCCTGCCTTTGATATTTATCAAGCTGATCATTTGTAAGTTTTTCATTTGTATTCTCTAGTGAAGCTAGAGCTTTATTATTGGTTGCTTTTGAGGGTGCTTAATAGTCTAGCGTTTGGTTTTTTGTATAATTGATTTTTCTGGAGGCGTTGGAATAGCTGAGGGGGCTGGTCCTGGTCCAACTAGGGGTATTTTTGACAAGATACATGTCTGAGTTTATAGAATTCTAGACAATAATTAGGCATACCCTCTGTTTATGCAATTTTAATGCTAGTTCGAACAATCAAATAAATGAAAAGGTGTATTGGGATTCGTACAAGAAATAAAATAGTATAAATATATTGATAGCTACTGAATGTGAATTCGAGAGATTTGTTCCCAAATATCTCTCTTGAATAATTGTGGTGGAAAGTTCCTGCCCTCTATATGTAAAATACAACAATTAAAGCGATCTAGATCAATATCAATTATGATAGCTTATGTGAAGGGTGGGATTCATCGTAGTGGGGTTAGTGCATGACCATTATTCCTATTTATACAAATAGATTCATCCTATTCTATTGCACAGCCTAACTGCCCGACATGTCTGCCTCCTAGTTCCTAGGATTGGGGAGTCGGCTATTTGACCTTATCACTTTGGGATCCGGAACCTCTGCCATACTCCAAGGCAAGGCACCGTGCCCGGTTGTAGAGAACCGTCCGATCACAATATGGACGGTCGGAGATATTGAGGTGCAGATCCCGAAGCTTCTCTTCTTCCCATCGGACGGTCCCTGCGCGCAAGGCACTCTGCCGTGCGGCAGAGGATCCCAGTCGATCACTTTGCTCCTCCTTTATTTCTATCTGACTTTTCCATTTCTTATCTGCATGCTAAGGAAATTGGGCCATAACGGATATGCCTTCACCAAGTCATGGGCCGTAATCTAAGTAATTACTTCAATTATTCTTTGGCCCAACAGCCTCGCAAAGAATAGGCAGCACAAAACCTTTGTCTCCATTTTATAGCCAAATCTTTCAAGGCAATTCTTTATTGAGGGTCTTTATTGAGTCATTGTAGCTGCGTCAGGTTTGAGATGTGTACCGACTATAGAGAAGAGAGCCCATCGATCATGGAGGTGAATCGAGAGTCCCTCAAAATAGATCCAAACAAGAATGATTGGGGACTCTGCATCTAGAGAAAAATAAGGAGCCCAACGGGAAATCCTCATCATTATAATAATATGGAGCCCATTGGGAAATCCTCATGGCAAGTCTCTCTCTAGACTTTTTGTAAGAGTATTTGTATCTCTAGCATAATTCTTTGACTCAGGGTCGGACAGATCATGTATCATATATGGAGTACTATGTACACCGGGTTTTGTATTAAGGCAAAATTCACAAGAATAATCCGTACTTTTAGAGATTCTACAATAATAATCCCCACTGAAAGTGTTCACAAAAATAATCCGAACTAGCAATAGTGTTCATAGGAATAAATTGGATGAATTCAAATTAATGACCGTTTAATACTTCCAACCCTTACTCTCACTTTTCTCTTTCCCGACGGAGAGTGGTGAATGGGAAAGTGGAAGTAGGGGTTGAGAATATTAAATGGTCATTAATTTGAATTCAATCCAATTTATTCTTATGGACGATATTGCTAGTTCGGATTATTTTTGTGGACACTCTTTAGTAGAGATTATTATTGCGGAATCCCTAAAAGTACGGATTATTCTTGTCAATTTCTGTCTCGTATTAATTACGGGATTATATTCTAACCAAACTTCTTTTAAATGATTCAAAATGTAATTTATTCAGGTAGCAAGCCAATAAGAAACCGTTTCGTACCTTTAAAATGATATAAGAGTCTCTTGTATAAAACTTCCCGTAAGATGACTCAGAAACTGGCACCGGACGACCATTTTCAATACGCCAGATCTCAATTCCGCTTGAAATGTTTAAGGATTAAACACAAATGAATTAAATGTAGTTAGAAACAAATACTAACTCCCACCGTCCTATACAAAGGTTCATGTTTGAGTGATTATGATATTATTATTATATTTATTCTCTTTCCGTGATATTTATGTATTACAACACGATTCTAACCTTATCCCAGAAAAGATATTTAAACTAATATTAATAAATGAAATTTATATTTTGAAATAATTACATATTTATGCCTAAAATAAAGATTGATTACAAAAATATTACTAGTGACTAGAGTAGTACTGGAATAATAGTAATTTATGATCAAATTTATAACTTAAGTTATCATGACACTAGATTGTAGTAACTATTAATCATATTTGTGCACATAAGTTTTATTTTAGTAATATTTTTTTTAAAAAATCCCTTATATTTTAAGACTGTACTAAAGAAATATTAGTCCAAAAATCAAATGATAAAATTTGACATATGAATTTCATGTATTAAAGGGAAAAGCTCCATGTATCCTTCTACCATTTCAAATATATTATTTAAGTTCACTTACTAAAAAAATATCATATAAACATGCTCACTACAACAAAATACAACTTTTGTAGCATATGCAAAATGTTACAATGGGTGTAAAAAATGCCACAATATATCAAATGTAGCATTATTTAGTATGCCGCATTTGAATGGTGTAACAATAGATGTATTGTAGCAATTTATTATTTTATTGTAGCATTATTTCTTGATACAATAATGTAACAATAGATATTATACTGTAGCAGTTTCTACAGTGCTATGAAATGGATGCTCCAATAGATATTTTTTACTAGTGTGCGGCCCTTACTTTAATTCGGCCACTTTACCGGTTTTTAATCTATCCTAGCCGGGTGGTTTTTATCAAGTTACTAATCCACCGGCTGGTTGAGGGTGGGCCGATGATCACACTGATCGACATCATTATGGATGAACTGTTTAGTTATACACATAAGAGGGGCACCTTTTGGTACAAATAGTACTTCATTTCCTTGTAATATGCGCAAGATCAGTGCACTTATAAATGTTCATGAACTTTTATGTTTAAACAAATGCACTTCTCTCAGTGATGAAAAATGATTTATTTATCAATAGAACACCACATATTGAACTAAAATGATGCATTATTAACATATTTATATTAGACTCTTTATATTAGATCTGATGCTCTAGATTAGTTTAGATAGATGATTATGTATTTGAGCATACATTCATATGTGTGTATGACACTCTTGAGAAACATGGACATGTAAAAAAAATGCATGTTATAATTCAACATGAAATGAAAAGGATACGCCTTCTGACCAGCATTTTGGAAAGCTGAATCTATATTTTTTGCTGAAAGAGCCATTATAATTTTAATCTTCCTCAATTGCTTCCTCAATGCTTATCAATGAACATGCTATTGGAAGAAAGCTTAACATAGAAATATAAAAATTAAAAATCAAAGATTAAGGAGGTGAAGAGAGAATTTGATGAATGAACAAGAATCCAGAACAAGAAAAGGGCAAAACAAATGAATTCTTCTCCATGCAGATCCTAAAAGGGCTCTCATATGCTTCCCAAATAGAGTGCCTACGCTTTAGGGCACGCAACGTACGCACCTTGACCCCTCATACTTGTCATTTAATTTGCAACGGTTTTGGATCAACTTTTAATTTTCTGTTCACTACAAAAAACACGCGTGTAGTCACGGACACTAGTCACGGATTTGGTCCGTGACTAGTTTGTCACGGTCGTAGTCACGGACTAGTCACGGACTTTCAAAAAAAATAGTCACGGATATGACCGTGACTACGTCCGTGACTACGAATAGTCACGGTTATATCCGTGACTACTTTATTCCGGCCAACCCACGTTTGCCTCCGGCGGATTTTTTTTTTGAATTTTAAATTAGTCACGGATCTACCCGTGACTAGGCCCAAAAATAAATTTTCCAACGCCCAAAAGTTAACTTGGACTGGTAATTTGTACGGATGAGCGTAGTCACGGTCACGTCCGTGACTATTTTTTTCATATATGCAGCCAGTGGTTCATCCACATAAACACACAAACTGTTTAGAAAAACAAACAACACATTGAAGGATGTAATCTAGCCATCTTCTATCATTTTCCCTGTTTATGCAGATAAGGTATGTAATTTGAATTACATTTTTTTGTGTAAATTATTTGGTTCATATTAACTCTAATAACAAGTTAAATTAGCTAGAGAGATTATTAATTATGTAAATTTCATTTAATTTAGTGAAATTTGGTTAGTTAAACGTAGGTTTAATCGTAGTGACGCATTAAGTTAAATTAATTAGCTAAATTAGTTAAATTTTTGATAATATTAGTTAAATTTTTGATAATATTAGTTAAATGTAAATTAAATGCATTTAAAAAAATATTTTTAATTAATTAACGAAATAAATTAGTTAACATTAGTTAAACGTAGGTGTAATTCAAACATAGGTTAAATGTATGTTGTTAAAAAAATGTTGTTAATTAATTAACGAAATAAATTAGTTAAACATAGGTGTAATTCAAACATAATGAATTAAGTTGTATTTAATTCAAATTACGTAAATTAGTTAAATTATAGATGATATTAGTTAAATGTAAGTATTATTTAATTCAAATGAGTTTATATATGCTTAAATATAATTATAGGATTTGTTTATTAGCAATTATTGTTAATGCCTAATTTAGGATTTATAATGATTTAAGTTAGGGTTAATTATTGAGACATTACTTAATAAGTGTGATAAATTAATATTGTGAATTATGTGAACTTCATTTAATTTAGTGAAAATTAGTTAGTTAAACGTAGGTTTAGTCGTAGTGACGCATTAACTTAAATTAATTAGCTAAATTAGTTAAATTTTTAATAATATTAGTTAAATTTAAATATTAGTTAATTCAAAAATTAGGAAAAGGTTGTTAATTAATTAACGGAATAGATTAGTTAAAATTAGTTAAATGTAGGTGTAATTTAAGCATAATGTTAATTAATTTGTATTTAGTTAAAATGACGTAAATTAGTTAATTATTGGATTTTCTCATATTATTTAATTTAGTGAATTGTTAAATGTGTATTATTCATAAGATGTTGATAATTTTAGTATTGTGGATTAAATGTCATTGACGTATTTTTTGTAGTTTAATAATATTAATTGGACGTTAGTTAATTTTAGCGAATTTTAGTGAAATATAATATATTAATGTTCCTATACATATAAAATTATTGTTAATGTTTATGAATTAATGCCATTAACGTAATAATTTAGTGTATTTAGTGTTGAAATCGTAATATTGGTTATTAGTTAATAATTGAAATGATTAATGACATTATATTAACGTATTAGTTGTACTTAATTAATTATATTAATTGAACATTATTGTAATTAATAATATTCAATTGCCCGTGAACTATAGTGAAATTGAATATATTAGTAATAGGCTACATATGTTGGTAATGTTTATAATTCAAAGTTTTTAACCTAAATAATTTTCTATTATAATATTCAGGCATAATGTATAAACAAAACAGAAGTTGGATGTATGATAAACATGCGGTATTGTACGGAATGGAATCAAATTTTCTCGAAGGAGTCGGGGAATTTATTGAATTCGCACTTGAACACCCGGCTTATATGAGTGGTGATAAAACAAGATGTCCATGTTCAAAGTGTAAAAATCTCAAATTTAAAGACCCACAAGAAGTTGGGTGGGATTTGTACGCGGACGGTTTTGTTCCCAATTATTATAATTGGACTTCTCACGGCGAACCTTTGGATCCATCTGTTATACCACAAACGGTAGGTTCGTCTCGTTACGTCCCTCCAGAGATGAGTGGGTGGGGAGACCGTGCTGAAATGAGGTGGGACCAACAAATGGTATATGACGCATACGGTGTACCGATGCCTCAGTTCAACCCCCCACAACCATCTAACGACCCCCCTGAAGTCTCAACCTCGTATCAACCAGATGCGGATGAAAATCCGACATTTTATCAACCTTATGTGGATGAAGGTTTGGCTGAGAGATTTCAGGATGTTCTAAAAGCTGCCGACCAACCTCTGTATGCTGATTGTGAGGGATAATCTCAGCTATCCGCCGTTACAGAGTTTATGAACATAAAAACCGAATACAGTCTTCCTGAAACTTGCATGACTAGAGTCTTGCAGTCAGTAGGAGGGATGCTACCGCGTGATCATACCCTTCCCGATTCATATTACCACATGAAGCAATTAATGTCTAAGTTGGGGCTACCTTGTGTCGAAATTGATGCGTGCCCGGAAGGATGTATGTTGTTCTGGAAGGAGGATGAGGCACTTGAGTTCTGCAAGTTCTGTGGTGGAGACAGATACAAACCTGTTCCTCAAAGTAAAAAGAAACCACGACATAGGTCAGCATTGTCTAAAC